ACGCCACCCCCCTCATCTGGCCACACCCTCAGGATCACTGGGCAGCCTATGGCAGCCTGTCCCTCCTCCAAGCTCTGCCGCCTCACCCGTTATTGCCCACCGGATCTGTAGCTCAGGGAAAGCAGGAGGAGCCGAGCAGCAGCACAAGGATCAAAGAAGCTGATCGGAGTGAGGGACCAGCAGGAGCTGGTGAAGAGGAGGAGAGCGGCCGGAGAAGGAAGACAGCTGATTGGTAAGATAAGTGTGAATCTGGTGGTGCTGCTGCAGCAGCAGCCAGGTAAGCTGGCTGTGGATGGGAGAGGGAGGGAGCCCGGACTGGAGCAGGGGTCGGCAATGTGAGGGATCTGGGCAGAGCAGATGGTGTGGATGGGACAGGGAGGGAGTCTGGGCTGGAGCAGGGGTCAGCAATGTAAGCATCACTGGTGTCAGTGAGAGTAATAGTGACACCAATGATGGAACAGTATTCCATGACGGGGCACTATTCCTCCCGCTGACACCAATAATCGGGCACTATTCCTCCCGCTGACATCAATGATGGGGCACTATTCCTCCCGCTGACACCAATGATGGGGCACTATTCCTCCCACTGACACCAATGAGGGGGCACTATTCCTCCCACTGACACCAATGATGGGGCCCTATTCCTCCCACTACCAATGAAGGAACTATTGCTCCCACTGACACCAATGATGGGGCACTATTCCACTGACACCAATGATGGGACAGTATTCAATCCCACTGATACCAATGAGGGGGCACTATTCCTCTCACTGACACCAATGAAGGGGCACTATTCCTCCAACTGACACTAATGAAGGAACTATTGCTCCCACTGAGACCAATGATGGAGCACTATTCCTCCCACTGACACCAATGATGGGGCACTATTCCTCTCACTGACTCCAATGATGGGGCACTATTCCTCCCACACTGAGACCAATGATGGGGCACTATTTCTCCCACTGACACCAATGAAGGGGCACTATTCCTCCAACTGACACTAATGAAAGAACTATTGCTCCCACTGAGACCAATGATGGGGCACTATTCCTCCCACACTGAGACCAATGATGGGGCTCTATTTCTCCCACTGACACCAATGATGGGGCACTATTCCTCCCACTGACACCAATGATGGGGCACTATTCCTCCCACTGACACCAATGATGGGGCGCTATTCCTCTCACTGACTCCAATGATGGGGCACTATTGCTCCCACACTGAGACCAATGATGGGGCACTATTTCTCCCACTGACACCAATGATGGGGCACTATTCCTTCCACTGACACCAATGATGGGGTACTATTACTCCAAATGACACCGATAGTGAAATAAAATAAGAGTTGGAGCTCTAATAGTAAGAGATGGAGTTTACCGATGAAGGGGTGGATCTGAAACAGGAAGGGGTGGGACAAATTTAGATGGGGGGGTGCCTGATTTTAGTCTTGCTTAGGGCAGCACAAAACCAAAATACACCACTGTATTTTAACTCATTTAACCCATGTTAACCTTCCCAATGCATACTTAAACAATATATACAACATATTAAACCTAACATACCTTCCGAATTACGTTAGTCAAAAAACATAAGGGAGAATTATAAATGGTTATCAATACTAACCATACTGGCATGATTCTCATAATAGATTGGAAAACCTTAAACCATTAGTTTTGACAATTGAGCACAATGAGTATGCAAACAACCACACACAAGCTATAAATGTCTGGTGCCTCTATCAAAGATTTCCAGTGTATTGGAGTATTTTGTGATTTGCTTTGGTGCATTTTGCATTACACACAAGAAAAAATTAGCTATAGACAACTGGTGTACAAAGGTACCCAAAAATAAGCTGATCATGGACCTATCAAAGTATTGACCGCTAGCGGTAAGCTCTTTGTTTAAGGCCGATGCAAGCATTTGAAACCTCTCCTCTTCCTCCCAGTTTTACCCATGTACGATCAAGAGAATACAAACTGTGCAGCCTTTTTTTTTCTACCCTTCAGTACTAACTAAAGTACATTATATTGCCAAAAGTATTGGGACACCCCTTCAAACCATTGGATTCAGGTGTTCCAGTCACCTCCATGGCCACAGGTGTATAAAATCAAGCACCTAAGCATGCAGACTGCTTCCACAAACATTTGTGAAAGAATGGGTTGCTCTCAGGAGCTCAGTGGTACCGCATTGGTTGTGGTTTAATGGTTTAAGGTGGCCTGTGCAATAAGTCCATCCGTTAAATTTCCTTGCTACTAAATATTCCACGGTCAACTGCATTATAACAGTAGAAGCAACTGGGAACAACAACATATCAGCCACAAAGTGGTAGGCCATGCAAAATGACAGAGTGGGGTCAACACATGCTGAAGTGCACAGTGCGCAGAAGTTGCCAACTGTCTGCAGAGTCAATAGCTAAAGACCTCCAAAATTCATGTGGCCTTCAGATTATTAGCACAACAATAGTGCGTAGATAGCTTCATGGAATGGATTTCCATGGCCGAGCAGCTGTATCCTTACATCACCAAGTGCAATGCAAAGTGTCGGAAGCAGTGGTGTAAAGCACTCCACCTCTAAACTCTTGAGCTGCACCTCCAAAACTGTTCTTGTAGCTCACAGTTTTTTTTGACAAATTGCCTGCTGTAGCCCACCATTCATCCATTTCAAAATTGGAGGCTGTTGCAACCTTTAGAAGGTTTTCCCTAATTTTCTCTGTGTCCTCTCTGAGACACCTTCTCAATGCTCCCCACTGCTCCCCCTTCTGCTTACACATAAATTTAATTCTGAGCAACGCTGAAATTTAATCTCTCCTTCTTCACTCTCTTTATTAGCTGTTTACCCAATAATCTGGTATTATGTTGCTGACACTGAGACAATAGTTAATTACACTGGCTTTTAAGAGATTCCTCTGCACATAACTGGCAGCAGTATATTTTTTAACAGGTATATACAAATTTCATTTCACAACTATACAATCTACACAAGACACAACTCTATTACCGTAGTACTATGGCACTGAGCAAAAAACCAAACTCAACTGCCTTTAGCTCTTACAACAGCTCACACAAATCAGACTACAAACAAAAATCAAGCACTCTTCTAGCATTCAATATTGTTCATTCATTACCACTTTTACCTAAAATCATACCAAATAATTACAACTTTTTAGAAAAGACTCACCACACCTCTTGCAGCCCTTTCGGCTTCTGTGGTGTTTTCAGCTGACTTTACAATGTACAAATTTACTTTACTTTACAAATTCATAGAAGTTTTGCTTGTCCTTATGGAACTGTGAATCCGAGCACTTCTGTAGGTTCTATGTGGCTTTTAGGATTTCCACATGCTCTGTGGGGTGCCAAATGTAAAATATGCTCTGTTTGGGGTGTCTTTATTTCAAGAAGGATGATGAATTCCTACAACAAGGGTTAGGTTTATTTACAAACAGGAATATAACTACATAATATTTACAAATAAGGAATTGGGGTAATACAATAGGTGGGGAGATGGACTGGCAAAAGGAAAGGGATTTGTAAACTGCTTCACATACATCCTTGCTCATTCTGTCCGATTCTCTCATACCAGGGCTCTTTTTGACCAGAGTTGAGACCCACATCCCACAGCTGGGAGTTGGTAATTGCAGTCAGTGATATCTTGAACAAAAGACCATAAAGTTAATTTCCGTTGGGACGGGCTTATAATTGAATTCTTGATCAGATGTCCACATGATCTCCCAGCCCAGGAGGTAAACTCATTCTAGCCAGATCTGGGCAGTAACCTCTATAGGGGGTCCAAGTATTCAGAATGCCCACTCCACTCTTCCCCCTGTCAGTAACCACACTGTCCAGGTGTAGGTCTGGGGGGTCTTACTAATCATATGTTAACAAACTCATATATTTATCTAGCTTCTGTTGAAGTTGACTAGTTGTGCAAATGTCCATATTTCAATTCATGTCCAAACTGCAATTATATACATTTTAATCAAATATTACAACCAGTATCTACTGCCTCTTCATGATCCCAGCGGCTCCATTCAGGACTATTACTACTACTGATGGCTTTACATCAAGCAAATCCTATACCTGTTTCACACTGAAGCTTCTGAGTACATTACCATTGTTTTAATACATTTTATATGAATAAAATCTTGCTGCACTAGTGCCTGGCACAGTTCCTACTATAAAAAAATAAGTCCCTTTGTGACATTTCAGTTTTAATGTGTTGACTAAAATTGGCATTGATTTTTGTCAGTTTCATGAATTGATGAAAATTCGAATTTGCTTTCATCACTGCAAATAAGCCTCTGACGTATATATATTTTTGCGTCAACAAAATTAACAGTGGCAACCATGCACTGGTGATAAGCGGAACTATGGCCATCACTAAAGGGCATTTAAAAGTAAGCATTCCATAATGTGTGGATATGCTGGACATCCTAGCACTTTATACCAAATTCTTCTTGGGGCTCTAGCATGGCCACAATTGTGCCAATGTGCTACATGTCAGTGCCTTGTCCCTGCTCCATCTCCGTACAGCTCGGTGTCTGTGCTGCGTCCAGGGACGCAGGGATGTCCATGTTGCGGTCCAGGACAGGCGGGTGTTCTAGTTGTGACCTGATAGTTCCCATCAGGTCACAACATGAAAGGTATTGCATGTTGTAACCTGATGGTTCACAACATATGTAGGTATGCCTGGGGTCTATCTAAATGTTTGAAAAAACGTTGTACAGCAAACTAAACTGCAACTCCTGAGAGCAGATGAGCACAGACACCCAATTGCCATCAACCTTGGAGTGAGGGAAGAATGTAGATCGGCCGCCACCAAGTGGCGGAACGCAGAACCGCACCGTGGCTCTGCAGTCCTCAGAATGGTCGCAGGAGTGTGAGTGATTGTGGCGAAGGATGATGACGAACGAGGCAGTTTAGGAGTAAAAATGTGCGACCTCGACCTTGGAGGGAAGCTCCTATGTGTTTAGTGTTAGAGGAGCAGCAGCAAGCACGTAAGTTATGATCGAGGTGTCAGAGCGCAGCTTCTGTGCGGCTCTACTTCTCAGCTTCACGGCCGGAGTGCTGGTTGGCTGGCAGGCGAATAGACAGCGCAGGAGGTACCTGGACTGGAAGAAGAAGAGACTACATGACAAGTTAGTGGAGACACAGAAGAAGCTGGATCTGTCCTGAGCCCTCTGTTCTGCTTCATGGATCCCTGCTACATGTCAGTGTACATCTATTCTACATGTCTGTACAGGTCAGTGTACATTTAATCTACATGTCAATGCCTTGTCTCTGCTCCATCTCAATACAGCTCGGTGTCCGCGCTGCGTCCCGGGGCAGGCCGGTGTTCCAGGACAGGCGGGTTTCCCAGGACTCAGCGAATTACATCCATTGCAGCTCACTGCTTGTAGTGCTCAATGAACTGCTAGGGCGCTGATGAGGGCTGTCATAATTCATTCACAAGCCTTGCAGCTTGTAAACAGCCCTAATTGAAGGTTGAATGAAAGCTGCAGGTCTTGTCTGTCAGGACATTGCACCATTGATCATGAGGGCAATGCTTTGTAGGCTCCTGAGGTAAAAAAATAAAAAGTGTGCTTTTTTTTTCTGCAAAAATATGTGCATTTTTTATTTTTCCCCAAACGGTCAACTTAGCCTTTAACCACTAGCCTACAGGGCACTTATACCCCCTTCCTGCCCAGGCCAATTTCCAGCTTTCAGCGCTGTCACACTTTGACAAATGCGCAGTCATGCAACACTGTACCCATATGAAATTTTTTTCATTTTTTTGAGACGGCTTTCTTTCGGTGGTATTTAATCACCTCTGGTATTTTTATTTTTTTCTTAAACCAAAAACCACTGAAAATTTTGAAAAAAACAAAACGTTTTTTCTTAGTTTTTGTTAAACAATTTTGTAAATAAGTGATTTTTCTCCTTCACTGATGTGCGCTAATGAGGCTGCAGTGATGGGCACTGATAGGCTGCACTGATGGGCACTGATGAGGAGGCACTGGTAGGTTGCACTGATGGGTATTGACAGCCATCACTGATGGGTGGCACTGATTGGCATTGATAGGTGGCACTGACTGGCACTGATGTGTGACATTGAAAGGCAGCTCAGATGGGCACTGATATGTGGCATTGATGTGCAGTGGTATGCACTGATATGTGGCATTGATGTGGCACTGATGAGCACTGACTGACCGATAACCGGCATTTCCGTGTTTACATGTGTTCAGCTGTGATTGGACACAGCTGATCACATGACCGAGCCGACATCTTCGGCTCTTTCCGTGATCCGTTGTGTCCGAGGGACACAGCGCACCGGCGATCGCCGCTGAGAATGGAAGGACGTCCTATCAGAACGAGAGAACCACCTTGCGCCCGTCATTGTACTATATGGCGGGCGGAAGGTGGTTAAAGTGAACCTGTTCTTTGTCCATGTAGGTCTTCCACAGCTTCATATTCTCCTTTTACCTTTCACTCTCCTTCTGCTCTGTTTGAATGCAAAGAGTGCCAATATAAATTATAAAGTGCCAATAATAAAGCCACATTATGTGCAGCTTCAGACAATGTGCTCTTATGCTTTTGCCTCTCTCTGCTATCCTAATAGTCCTCTCTCCTTGGCTGCTCCTGCACAGTAGAGCCCTATAGACTTCAGTCTTACACAGAACTTTCTTTATTGCCATCCCCAGCTGACAGTGAATGAGCATGTACCAGCTTTGTGTCGAGGGAGGGGAGTAAGTGTCATGCTCCTACATACCTGGAAGTACCAGGGATTTCACTTACTGAATTGGAAAAGAGAAAAGATGGAAGGGGCAAGTATGTGATGCTGGGGGGGCACTTAAAGTGGAGCTCCACCCAAAAGTTCCGCTTTAATGCTTTGTGCCTTGCTCCTCATTAAGGATTGGCACCTGCAGGGGAGGTGGGGGGTACCCGATTTTGACAGGTACCCGCTCCCACTTCCATTGCGATCGCATAGGTCCCAGAAGACTACGGGGCCATTCACAAAACGCAGCGGTTCTTGGGCATGCGCAGTGAACACCTGGCTGTGCAGCCGCAAGCTGTTACAGCTGGGTGCCCACACTAAAGGAGCCGTCGCCGAGGGGCAAAGACTGTTGAAACCAGCGATGGTGGTGACACTGCTGGATCGAGGGACAGGTAAGTGGCTGTATTTTAAAAGTCAGCAGCTACAGTTTTTGTAACTGCTGACTTTTATGTATTTATTTATTTATTTTCAGCTGGAACTCTGCTTTAAATCAGCCTGTTGCATTGCTGTGCATAAGCAAACTTCAGGTTCACTTAAAGCAAATGTGTTCCTGATATTTTTATTTATTTTAAGCACACTGTAAATACTTACTGGACTTGCAGGCGGTGATCCCTTATCTTTTTGTTTTCTTACAGAATTATGACCATTGAAGAATCTTCTCTCTGCTGTGTGTTTGATTCCACCCACTGGCTACAAGACACCCACATTACGTCAAGACAAAGTAATGAAGCAGTGTCTCTTTGAGGGACCATGTGTTTGAACCATAGCGATCTTTCAGGGACCATGTATTGGAAGTACCAGGAAGTATTGGTTGCTGACGATTCTATGGTGGTCACATTTGTGCAAGAGAATATTATTATTATTATACAGGATTTATATAGCGCCAACAGTTTGCTTAGCGCTTTACAATATAACGGGAACCAATACAGCAACAATACAGTTCAATACAAGAGGGATAGGAGGGCCCTGCTCCTTGGAGCTTACAATCTAGGAGGGAGGGGCTAGTGGTACAAAAGGTAGTAACTGTGGGGATAGACTGGTTGGAAGAGTAGAAGATTCCATTATTAGCTGAGGGCAGGATAGGGTTCCCTGAAGAGATAGGTTTTTAGAGATCACCTAAAAGTGAGCAGAGTAGGCGATAGTCTGATAAATTGGGGTAGAGAGTTCCAGAGGATGGGGGACGCTCTGGAGACGAGCATGGGAGGAAGAGACAAGGGAGCTAGAGAGTAGGAGGTCTTGCGAGGAGCGAAGAGTACGGTTTGGGTGATATTTAGAGACAAGATCTGTGATGTAATTTGGGGCAGAGTTATAAATGGCTTTATACGTTATTGTTAATGTTTTGAACTTTATCCATTGGGCAATGGGAAGCCAGTGGAGGGATTGGCAGAGAGAGGTGGCAGATACAGAACGGTTAGTAAGGTGGATGAGTCTGGCAGCAGCATTCATGATAGACTAAAGAGGGGATAGCCTGCGATTAGGTAGGCCACTGAGGAGGGAGTTACAATAGTCAAGGCGAGATATAACAAGGGAGTGAATAAGTTGCTTAGTGGTTTCCGAGGTTAGGAACAGGCATATCTTAGAGATGTTGCCGAGGTGAAGTCTACAAGATTTGGACAGTGAATGGATTTGGGACTGAAAGGACAGATTGGAGTCTAGGATTACACCTCGTACCTGGCATGAGGGGAGGGACTGATGATTGTGTTATTGATCTTGATGTAGAAGTCAGGGGAGGGGGCACGGGCTGGGGGGAATACTAAGAGCTCAGTTTTGGAAAGATTGAGTTTGAGGAAGTGGAGTGACATCCATGCAGATAAGTCACTTAGTAGGTTAGTAATGCAAGAGGAGACTGAAGGGGTGAGGTGAGGGGTAGAAAGATAGATTTGTGTGTCATCAGCATAGAGATGGTACTTAAAGCCATGGGAGTTTATCAAGTGACCAAGGGAGGAGGTGTAGACGGAGAAGAGAAGGGGTGCAAGGAAAGAACCTTGGGGGACCCCTACAGAAAGAGGGAGTGAAGAGGAGGAGGCAGCGTTATAGGTAACGCTGAAGGAGCGCTGCGATAGGTAGGAGGAGAACCAGGAGAGAGCAGAGTCTCTGAGGCCAAGAGAGTGGAGTTTTTTGAGGAGAAGGGGATGGTCAACCGTGTCAAGTAGTAAGAGTACGGAGTAGTGGCCATTGGTTTTAGCAGTTAGTAGATCATTAGTGAGTTTTAGTAGGGCAGTTTCAGTGGAGTGTAGTGAGCGAAAGTGTCAGTGAAGTAGGAGCTCAGGCGATTGTTGACTAAGCGTTCTAGGAGTTTAGAGGCAGCAGGGAGATGGGTCTTAGGTTGTTCAGGTTGGTGGGGTCCAGGGAGGGCTTTTTAAGTATGGGAGTGATGTGTGCATGCTTTAGAGGGGAGGGGAAGGCACCAGTAGAGAGGGAAAGATTGAAGATGTGAGGGAGCATAGGAATGGAAGAAGAGGGTGACCGTAGTAGTTGTGAGGGGACAGGATCCAGGGGGCAGGTAATGAGACGGGCTTCTGAGAAAACCTTAGGGAACTCTTCGGTAGTAGCAAGGTCAAAAGAGGAAAGTGTTGAGAGACGTTTAGCATAAGGTATGCTAAGTGGGACGGATGTCTGTGCAGTGGCGATGCCCCTATGAATTGTGTCAGTCATATTTTTGAAATGATTTGCAATCTCATGAGCAGTGAGTGAGGTAATAAAGATAGGAGTCACTGCCAGGAAGTAATAATCTTGGCAGAAGACATTTTTACACAAAAAAAAATTTGCTGATTTGCTTATAAAGTATAATTTCACTATTCTTCTACACGGTCCCATGATTTACATGTGCTGGAACTGCCATCTTGCTTTTTGATCACATGCATCCAGCCTATCACTTTGCCCTGAATGGGGAAAAAATGACTTTTTAAAGCCAATTTTTTTTTTTTTTTTTGCTTTGTTTCAAATTTCAGAAAAAAAACTGACAGGAATTCTTATCCTTCCCTACTGAATCTGAAAGACTTTCCATCATATTGTCAGTGACAATGGTTTTGCCTGACAAGTAGGAACGTTTTCAACAACAGCACAGCAATAAAGAAGCAAGATGAGGGGGTTGCCTTCCAAAAAAAAAAAAATGCCTGTCATTTGCAGGGATGTTCACTCACTTCTGCCTGGTGAAATTGTTGTGACCAGAGAATAAGAAACAATCTCTGATAGAGCTCCGGATAGTACTAAAAACCATGCTTCCCTGCTCTTTCTAAAACTGAAACAGTATGGGCTAGAGTAAGTCTTAAGGGATTCATTATTTATTATAGTTAATTATGCAGCACCAACTTACAAAACACTTTACATATAATGAAAATTTACATCAGTCTCTGCCCTTCAGGAACATAGTCTAAGGTCCCTAGCTTACATATATTAATGGAAAGGAGTCATTTAGCCT